CTAGACACCAAATTGTTGGATGTAGTCAGTACGCTGCAGTACGGATGCAATCAGGCTTAGCCAACAGCATTTCTAACTGGCTTAGCCTTAATAGATCATCTTATGAAGTGTTGGGGTGTAAGCATAGATTTGCGCTCCGCGCAATTTAGGGGGCGCAAATCTATGTCTTCATGGCATCATTTCGCTTCAATGTTTTTAACTCGATAAAGTTAAACTAAAGAAGAACCTGTTCGTTTATTTGCACCTAAACGGTCAGAACTCTTGAAACTGTTGTTATTATCAATCAATTCGGCAATTTAAGGTGTTCTCTCCGTTGATGGTTATTGCAAGCCATTTGAAGCGTCCGGCACTGGTTATGGGCACAGCGAAGCTATAGCGATAGTGCACCTTCAAAAAGCTAAGGATGCGAGACGAATCTATGCTACCTACGTCTAGGCTAAAACCAACTGTGATGGCTTTAAGCATGAAGGCATTATATATCTCTCTTACAACATGCAGAAGGAGTTATTAGAAGAATTGTACGATGATTGCGGTGTTACACCCGAAATGCTCTCCTACATGGAGGCCCATGCAACTGGTACTGCAGTAGGAGATCCAGTAAAAGTTGACACCATTGATCAAGCATTATGTTCAAAAAGGACTTTATTGTCCTTATTGATGGGTCCTTATTGATATAAGTCCTTTATTGATGGGATCGGTAAAATCGAATCTTGGCCATCCGGGGCTTTCCAGTGGCCTCTGTCAAGTGCCAAAAGTTTGTGAATATATTTGTTTTAACAGAGAGAGCGAGAGGACACCTAACCTAATCTNTCTCTTACAACATGCAGAAGGAGTTATTAGAAGAATTGTACGATGATTGCGGTGTTACACCCGAAATGCTCTCCTACATGGAGGCCCATGCAACTGGTACTGCAGTAGGAGATCCAGTAAAAGTTGACACCATTGATCAAGCATTATGTTCAAAAAGGACTTTATTGTCCTTATTGATGGGTCCTTATTGATATAAGTCCTTTATTGATGGGATCGGTAAAATCGAATCTTGGCCATCCGGGGCTTTCCAGTGGCCTCTGTCAAGTGCCAAAAGTTTGTGAATATATTTGTTTTAACAGAGAGAGCGAGAGGACAAATGTGAATAAAACATAACAAGAAATGGGGCCAGCAAAACAAAGAAAATTTATATAATAAAACGACGATTAATAATATTAACATAAATGCGAATTTAATTTGCATTATGTTAATCATATCGAAGTCTATACATAAATGCCCATTGATAAGTTTCGTTAGCATTCACGTAGTAGCCGTCCCCATAACAGGATCAAGTATTCACCTGAGGTTTGTAATCGCTGGTATTAAGAAATGATACTAAATGGATAATTGAAATTGTTATCAAATTTTATTTTAACAATTTGAAAACTAGGAAAAGAAAACGTAGTTTTTTCGCATTTGCATTTATTATCAATATAAATTTTTAATACATTTCTCAAATGCAAAATTTGTCTGCAAAATAAAATTGCAAGTTCATTTGATGCTCATTTTGATCGTTATATTCATCCGGCAAGAATAATTTGAAAATCCTTCTCCTTCCGGTTTAAAACAATTTATAATTATTTTAGCGATCCTGCAGTATGGAAAGCAGTAAACGGTACAATTTATATGTAAAAGTTNTCCGGTTTAAAACAATTTATAATTATTTTAGCGAGCCTGCAGTATGGAAAGCAGTAAACGGTACAATTTATATGTGAAAGTCCTTCCAGAGGAGGAAATTGTGATCTCTGGTATTTCAGGACGGTTTCCCAATTCTGATAATATAAAACAACTAGAAGAAAATCTTTTGAATAAAATGGACCTAGGTTCCGATAATAGTCGACGATGGAGTAATGGTAATATACAATTACTATTCGCATAAAATTTCAAAAGTGAGAATATTAACACGTTCAACCCGGCGCATGTTTTCGAAGTCCGTATGGTCAGTGGGCTCGAGATTTTCAGATGTTTATTCGTCTGGCAGCGCTTGTTTCTTTCATTATTTTCTCTGTTTTCAGTGGCTTGAGTCTGAAGTCTACTTGCATCTAATTGTTATAAATTACGTATAAAACTTTATTTACAAATTGTGAAATATATATGT